GTTAAAATAATAATATCCACAACCACCATGGAAGCATTTATGGATCACCTACAGTATACCAGGGGTCCTGGTGGTGCAGTGGTTAAGAGCTTGTCTACTAACCAAAAAGATCAGCGGTTTGAATCCACCAGCCTCTCCTTGGAAACCCTATGGGGCAGTTCTGCTCTGTCCTATAGGGTCGCTGTGAGTCGGAATCAACTCAATGACGAGTTTGCTTTTTCGCGTACAGTATACCAGGCTCAGGGTGCTGAATCAGAATGGCCGCCTGTTGGGCTGGGTGCTGCCTTGTGCTGCTGTGAACACAGAGGCCAACATAGTGACTTGCCCGAGGCCACAGGTAAGCAGGGACAGAGGGCTTGAACCCAAGGACCTGGGGCTGGAGCCCTACCTCTGGAGACTTCTGTGAGTCACCCAGGAGAAATGAGCAGGCAAGGAAGTGGTGGCCCCACCCCAACCAGGAGACCCGATACCCTTGAGGGCAGAGCAGGCAGGTCCCCTTTTCCTGGAGTGAATGTCCAGTGTGGGTTATAAACCCCGCTGGGTAAACCCACCCACTGACTCAGCAAACACTCCTGCTGTCATCTCCACCATGCCTGCCCAACCTGGGAAGATCCAGGGAGGGGACGGAGCAGGACCTAGCCAGGCTTCAGGGTCAGTGCTTGTCCAGACAGCAGGGTTGGGACTGGAGGGAGCCCAGAGCGGTGGCCGGAGATTCCCCTGGGCCTAAAATGGGCCCGAAGCCTGGCCTGAGCACCCAAGGATGGTTGTGTTCCCAGAGACCAAGCCCGTTTGGCCTGTCTTTATTAACCACCTGCTGTGTACCACGCTTTGGAAGGGAGGGCCTTGGGCTGATGGTTTCAGGTGGAAGGGGACAAGGCTTAAATGAAAGCATTCCTTGTTCGAAGATCAGCCCATCCTTCCAACGACTTAGAGGGAATGTCTGTGAGAACAGCTCAGACTTTAATGCCTCCAGTACCTGCCAGGTGCCACCACCGCCGGGGACAAAGGCTCAGCCCAGGCAGGCCCGTGTCCAGCTGGGATGATTGCCCAAGCTTGCTTGTTTTTGAATATTGTTTTCCTTCCTATAGTTCTTAATATTGGACACATACAAAAGGTTCTATCATAAGTAACTAGGTTGTAACTTCGTTCCCCACCATCCAGTATGATTCATTTTATGTTACCTGATGCAACTTTCTACAGTTCTCTCTCTCTCTTTTTATAGATGTTATTTTTTAGAGCAATTTTAGCTTTACAGAGAAATTACACAGAACGTACAGAGAGTTCCCATACACCCCTGTCTTCGCTATCTAGCGCTGCTATAACAGAAATACCACAAGTGGATGGCTTTAACAGAGAAATTTATTCAGTCCAGTCTAGGACGCTGGAAGTCCGAATTCAGGGCTCCAGCTCCAGAGGAAGGCTTTGTCTCTCTACCGGCTCTGGGGGAGGGTCCTTGTCATCAATCTTCCCCTGGACTAGGAGCTTCTCAGCACAGGGACCCCGGGTCCAAAGTATGCGCTATTCTCCTGGCTCTTGTTTCTTGGTGGTATGAGGTCCCCATGTCTCTCTGCTCACTTCTCTCTTTTATATCTCAAAAGAG